GTGTGAAGGGTTGAAGGGGAGAGAATGGCATGGAGATCTTAAGATCCACTGAGTTACTGTATGGCAGAGGAAGAAATCAAAAGATCCTTTTAACCATGTGCTATGGTATATGTGAGCTTTCCATTAATAGGCTTGATGTCATTTTCTTCTTGGATTCAAATTCCTAACAGATGCTTACAAATAATTTAAAGAGCACAGTGACTTAGCCTGACTCAATTTATCAGGTTTTATAAAACTGGAGTTTTAAAGCCCAGATGGCAATGAAGAGCATGATGTCTATGCATACTGTACTCTGGCTCGATGGAGAAAAGCAGGGATTATGGTGCAGTCTGAAAGTGTGTTCTGTGCTCTTGTGAACTTAGAATCAAGGTGAGGTTTCTTAGCAATTTATGTTGCCCTGAACTAGGGCTGCTGTCTTACCGCCGCCCTGGTACCTGGCTTGTGGCTCCAAAACGTGCTTGTAGCATTATTCCTTTGTGCTGGTAAGTGAACTTGGAGTCTTGAAGTGGTTGCTTGCTTTTATTTAGACTTTACTAACTGTGTAACAGCGCTTGCCAGTGCAGCAGTTCTGTAAAAATTATGAAGTATAGATATGTACACATTTTTAAAAATATTTTCTGATTTTATATTTATTATAATGTGGATTATATTATGGGTTTTGATGTAAATGCACTGTACAGGGACTGTTTCCAGTATTCATAAATACTGCTTTTTATGCCATTAAGAGAACTACGCCAGTGAGGCTTATGCATATATGTGCAGTGGGTTCATGTTAAAGACCTTGTAAGAGTATGATTACAGATATTCTCAGTGGTAATGCAAATGCAGTTGTATGGGTTTCAGCAGCTGAATTTCTCCAAATATTGCACTGACAGTTCCTTAAGTTACACGGATGTTTAGTTCTGGTTTTCCTAGTCTTTTGGTCTAGTTGAATATATGTGAACACAGGCTTTCATAAATTACTTGAGAATACTTGTCGCTGACATCTATAAGATACATCCCGTAAATACGTGCTTTATTTGCATATTTTAATGTAATCCTTAGGGATGGCTGTGTTCCTCTGGTTACATCTTATCATAAGTGAGGATAAAATGTATGAGATCAAATTGCTGAAAGTACAAACTACTTGTTGAGAAAATCTGACAGGTGACTGATCAATATGGGAAAAAGGAGCAATGACATCAGACAGTAAGCCGCTGAATATATTAGGTGCTACTCACTTTTTCAGATTAAGCTTAATATTCGTGGTTTAAGATGTAAGTTTCTAACATTTGAGAACATGTGCTTCTGTTACTAGATTCGGACTAAGGCTTTCTGTAACCTCTAGCATGAATATATAGCAGTAGTTCCTTCTATTTTTATAAAGACAGTTTGATAGGACGATGATATAACCCAGGCTCAGAATATATTATGATACTGTGCTGAATTCTTTATTGCTCTTTTGTCTTTAATAGCTGTAGTGATGTTCCCTTTAAAAGGTGTTACTATGCCAGTATCTAAATTAAATTACAGCCCTTGGTAGTGTTGTACAAAACAGCTTCATTTAACATTACTTTAATCTACTGTTTACTGTCACAGTATCATTGATGAGCACAAACTAATGCCTTTGTTTATTTCAGCTTTGTCCAAAGTTCTTGCATACCAACTCTACCAGTCACACCTGGCCTTTCAGCGCAATTGCGGAACTTATAGGTATGTGGATCGACAGTTTGCCTGAGTACTTGACTTTAATACTTCTTCTTTTCTTGTTGAAAAACTGTCTCCCTTCAGGTAGGGGAAGGAGGTGGTCCTGTTGTTACTATTCAGAATCCTACATCATCTTTTTTGGTACAGTCAGATAGTCTTTTTCCTTTTTTAACAGCATACATACTACCTGATGTCAGCTGCAGGGGCCTTGTAGTATTTGCAGGTTTCTTTTTAGTGAGTTTATTAAGGATTGTCAGACATAGAAACTGTGGGACCAAGTGAATCTCTTCTGATCCACCAAATGCAAGCCTACTGTTTTTTGCTGTTCCCAGGCCCAGAGAGTAGTAAGACTGACTGCATGTTCTCAAGATACGTATGCGTGCTTGCATCCTGCACAGGCACAGCTGGCCATGGACAGATTAGCACAGACAGGACAGTGACTTTGCAAGAACTCACATAAACACAGGCCATGCTTGAAATGTGAACCGCATAAATGGCCCTGTCCCTTTCCTGCTTCCTGGCTAACCAAGTTTAAAGTTCATTAGTGGCGCATACATGTACTCTCACTCACTTATCTCTCATACTTACCGCTGTTTCTGGGCGTTTCGACAACAGTACCTGTGTCCTAGGTTTTTTACCAGTCTCTGCCTTAGACCTTGGATCTCGGTGGCCGCTGGTTTCTTCCAACTTGTTGGCTTGTCCAGCTTGAAATTTGCTAGCAGATCAAATGCATACAGGCACAGAGAGACTGCTCATGCATGAAATCATCAGTAAGAATTTACAACAGAGTGACACAGTGTCCAACCAAACAAACATACTGACCAGCAGCCCGTTTGCATGCAATCAGACTGTGTTTCCCCCTCCCCCCCCCGGCCTTATACCGTTGTTCTCCCATTCACTTTGACCCTTCCCTTTTCTTCAATGCTTCCTCAAAACATCCAGTAGTAACTTTGGCACATCTTCACAATACCCCTCAAACAAACATCCTGATTTTCTTCTTCTGGGTTACCAAGTCTCTGGCTGAACATATCACAGAATCACTGAGGTTGGAAAAGACCTATAAGATCATCCAGTCCAACCATCAGCCCAACACTACCATAACCACTAGATCCTGTCCTCGAGTGCCACATCTACACGTTCCTTGAACACCTCCAGGGGTGGTGACTCTGGCACTTCCCTAGGCAGCCTGTTCCATCCGAGTGGTTTCTTTTAATGGTCCATCTGTCAGTGTCCTAAGAGGTCTGCTATTAACAACGGTTTGTGTATCTGTTTAATCTGTTAGCTCCTGCTGATTGTCTTGCCTTTGATTTTTTGAATAGGTGTTAACTGGATAGTTGCTTATTCCTGAGTTAGGGAGGTATTAGCAGACCTTCTTTAACTGGTTCCTCAAACTAAAGGTGTGGTTTGGAAAGACCTGCCAAGTTTATCTAGCCATTTCAGCTGCCAAAAGGAGAAACTCTTCTTGTCACACATTCCTTAACTTCCTGTGCATGAGTTTCGCTGTGGTTAATCCAGAAAATTAACCTAACACAGAAAGCAGGAATTTTTCAGCTAGATAAGGCCAGAGCTGTCACAAAGGAGGAAACCAGAACCACATGGCTGCAGGAAGGGCTGGCTGTTTTGGGGGTAACAATATGTTGAATCGTTTCAGCTGTTGTTATCACCCTGTGCCATACCTGGCTGGAATGATCCCGGATATGCTGTGTGGCATGCAAACTTTGTCTCCCTTTGCCTCTGGTTTGTTGGATGTGTGGCTTTAACAAAGCTTCAGAAGCACAGTAGCAGCATGTTGGTTGTAAAGGCTTCTGATTAGTCGTGTTGATTTACGTAAGTGTTGTAATCTGTCTTTTGCATGCTGTGTAAGGCTATACAAGATGCCAAATATCAAATAATATAAATAGGAATTTGTTATGGAGGCCTGAATTTTTGTTTATGCAAACTTAGCTAAAATGTTAATGGTTTGTATGCTGAAGTTTGCCTTTTAAGCTCAAGTCCCTCCCAACAGCTTTTTGCTGGTTATATGGCTGGCTTCTCTCATCAGTCCTCAATCAGTTTAAATTAAGGTGAGCTAATGGTGATACTTGGACGAAAGTGAATGGGACATCTGGACAGAGTCTGTTAAGCTAGCCAGTTAAGACTGGCAGAAAGTATGGTCTTAGAAGAATACTTTAAAACTTTCTGTTGTACTTGAGATGTTGTCTTTTGTTGATGCTGAAATATATTAAATTTTTCAGTGTGGATGCAGTTTGTACTTCATGCTTATAGAAAGCAAGCTGCCAAGATGTGATTCCTCCTTACAGAATGCAGTGTTGGCTTGAGCTGTTTATGGCTCTCAGCTGAACCTGCAAAACAGGCAGTGAGGCTTTGTTTTGGCTGCTTTTTTTTTGTGTGTGTGTCTCAAATTTGATAACTGAAGATGTGAAAGTATTTCAGATTTCATTTCCCAATGAAAAAGCCCGCAGGCCCACATCAGGTAGGATGTTGCTGCAGCCATATCTATTAGTGACATGCCATTGTCTGCGTTATGGACAATAACCTCACCTCCTGAGAGCCTGTCAGAAGGGATGAGTTTGTGGCCAGGAGAAAGTAAACATTGCAGCAGCTGTTTGGGAGATGGAAACTCAAGTCGAAACTTGTCTTGGTTTCGTTTTCTATTCTCATGTTTGAGCTAATCTTCACCTAAATTTTTGCCTATATATTACTGTCATGTGTAATAGCTGGAAAGTGGCATGTGGTTTTCGGGCAACGTTCACCAGGTTTTGATGCAGCTGTTTCATCGTAATGTTTTGATTTGGTGTTGTCATATGTAAAGAAGATAGTGTTTCGGGAGACTTAGCTTTTAGTGTAACATTTACTTTATTTAAAACTATGGCTTCTTGCTTCTGTGCAAAAGTTGACTAATATTCAGTGACTTAGCTGAGAATTTTGTGTGCCAACACAAAATTTCTGCAGCTGTATTACGTACCTAACTGGAGCTGAAAGGTGGCCGCAATTGTAGAGCTCTGCCAGTTTACCATGTGACTGCAGGGTTGTAGACCCTACGTTAAGCTGCCATATTCACCAAATAAACGTACATGCAGGCATGGCACCGTAGTTAGGGACAGCTATTCCATATAGCTGTTTGGTAGTGCTGATTATGTGTGTTTGCCTACTGGATAAGGCTCTGTTGTGTGCTGCGTATGGATTTAAGTAACTTGGGAAGAGTCACTATCCAACTTCTTCACTGGAATTAAACTCTTTTAATTATGGTCACATTTAAACTGTTTATTTTCATTTTTTAGTATCCCACCCTTGTGTGCTTTCTTTCTCTTCAGATAATGCTTATGATCCAGATGTGAGTGCTAAACAGATATGGATAGACAAAACAGTGATAAATGACAACATATGCTTGACGTTCACTGACAATGGAAATGGTATGAACTCAGAGAAGCTGCACAAAATGCTAAGGTGGGTAACCTTTTTCCGGTTTTCTTTTTTTAAAGATTCTAGCTTCTAGGTTTGTTATTGCTCATCTTTCTCCTTTTTCTCATATGTAATCTACTGATTTTGTTTATAAACTTAGCATTTCTGGAGGTGAGCGATTATCCAAGCAAGGCTCTAGAATAGACAGATGTTAGGAGAACTTGCCCACAGCTTTGTTGCACTTTCTACCAACCTTCCCACTTAACTTCCTGTGCAGTGGTGGTGCTGTGTAAACTCTGTAGTGCGCCTCAGTGGAGCCAAGGAGAATGAACTTTTTTCTTTATTCAAGATCGCTTTAGGTTAAGGTAGCGAGCAACAGGCGAAGGGATATTCGGGTGAAACCCTTTGGAGTATTGAAAATAGAAGGTATTGTGGAAAACTCAAGAGAATGATAATTATGTTGACATGGATTGTCTTTAAATATTCTAAAGGGCTTGAACTTATCTTGCTGCAACTCTTGTTTCTCTAGTTCGCAAAGAGGCTGCTGTTCAATTGCTTTTTTAGTATGAAAGATTCTTCTGCCTGCAGATAAATCTCTGGGTTTAAACTTGAGCAAGCTTGAATTCAAACTGGTTTTCTGTCAGATACCATAATTAATAGCTTGCTTGCTAAATTCAGAGTTTCATATTCAGTTACCTGTTTTACTTTCCATTATTAACCATATGTTACATTTAAAATTGGTAAATCGCACATTTTCAACTAAGGGGAGGGGAAAAAAATACTTTAGGGGCTTTGCTCAGAATTTATTATGAAACTACAGGATAACTGTTAGAATTCCATAAGAATGCTTATTGCATAATTACGAACAGATGACATTCCCTTACTTGAAGATGAAAGTAAATTTGCCTGAATTCTTGCAGTGTGGTTTTAGCAATGTTATATGGGTAACTTTCAGCATCTGCTTAACTGTACGTTGTTTAATTGTATGGTAGTGCTCCTGATGTCTAAAACAAACGATTAACTCGTGTTTAAGCCTAATTTGCTGTCTTGCATGCACCTTTTGGGTTTTCAAGTTTTATAGGGCTTTTTACATTCTTCTGATGTTTTCATATATGTTTCAGCTTTGGCTTCAGTGAGAAATCGGTGATGAATGGCCGTGTTCCAGTGGGACTGTATGGAAATGGATTTAAATCGGGGTCCATGCGCCTGGGAAAAGATGCAATAGTCTTCACAAAGAATGGAGAAACCATGAGTGTGGGCCTGTTATCTCAGACTTTCCTTGAGGTCACAAAAGCAGAACATGTTGTGGTTCCTATAGTGACGTTCAACAACCAACATATCCTTTCAGCTATTTCTGGATGACAAGTTGTGTGTACGTGCAACATTTGGATAATGGTGTCAGTAAAGGAAATCTCTTGTCTAGTCTTATGGATACCCTAAATAAGTAACAAGATGCAGGAAAGGCTTGTTAAAGCCTTTAAGGAGGAGCTCCGAGATGCAGAATGAAAACCTATGAAATGAGTACATGATACTGTTACAGAAGTCTCCTTACCTTTTGAAAGCTTACTTCATTCAAAGTTACTCTCCTTAACATAATGCTTACGACAGATAAGTGATCCAGCAGAATCCAAAAACAGCCTGAAGGCCATCGTTACACATTCTTTATTTTCTAATGAGGAGAAATTACTGGCAGAGCTAGATGCTATAATAGGAAAAAAGGGAACAAGAATTATCATCTGGAATCTTAGAAGGTGAGATGAAACTCAAGTCTCTCGCATCTCCCATTTAGTTTATCTTTCAGTGTACGCAAACATAGACGGCTTTTCTGTAGAATAATCCCAAATGACTGGGGGAGTTAGCTGCAACTGGGAAACTGGTCTCAAAAACTCATGTGATTGAAGTGCTATAATGTTGCATGAAACTGTTGCTGATCTCTCAAGTAGCAAAGCAGAAGGAAGGAGAACATAGAGGACTTAATATTTTCCTTTGATTAAGATACTGTTGCTTTTGCCAGAAGGAAAATTGAAATCGGGAATTTAGAAATCTGTTATTTCACACTTATGAAACCATGAATGCAAAAATACTCATGTACAAGCAAGTATTACTGACTTTTTAAGTTGGGAGTCAGCGGTATCCTAGTGAGAGCTAGACCTTTCTAAACTTCTTAACTGTTTATCATAAAATAAATAGTAATCCCAGTAAATAAATACAGTGTGTGTATTTATCTTATTTGTCTACTTGTGGGATTGTTCATGGCAGTATAGATTTCCAGCCTTTTCCAGCTGGGACTTGCTTGCTGCCTTTTGTGCTTTTCCTCTTTAAACAGCTGTTGGTGTAGCAGTGGCAGGTGGGTGTCATCACTTCCCATCTTCTTTCCATTTCCTTCACATCTTGCATGGTTGCTGCTGCCTTATTAGCAGGGAACCCGTCTGATGGTCTGTCCAGAAAAGCTCTAGTGTGCCTTTAACGGTGATGGTGCTAATTGGATAGGAAGATGTTGTCTTCTACTGTGTTCTTAAGTGTTCATCTTACTGTAGCCTCAAATTACTGAAATAACAAGGTATCCATCAGAAATAATTTTGAAGTGCTTCAGCCCTGTAGATCAGGCAAGGAACTAGCTTGTTTTTCAGCTTCTTACCTTTATTCTTGCCCATCAGAAAAATGGCAGACAGGGGAGGGGTGCAGGAAACCACACCTGGATGAGTATAGATGAAACATTACGGGACAAAAGAGCTCAGTCAGTTGTTGCAGCTGAAAAGTTTGGGGGGTTTTTTAGGTTGGTTTGGGGTTTTTTTCATTAAGCTCTTGTGAGTATTAGAGCTCTGAGTCACTTCTAGCCTAGTAGATTTTAATACAAGAAAGCTGGAGGTAACAAGTGTGCTGGTATTACTAATTCTGGTTGTATCTAATTCTTCTCTGTCAGAAAAACTTCACTTCCTTTAGCCTTCAGAAGCAAATTTGCCTTCCCTAGGTAGACTTTATTTTTAGGTATGAACCTTTTTAGGAATGTGCATCATTTCATTGCTTGAGCAAAAGAAAATAGAGTGAATGCAGCTTACTGGGCAGGATAACTTCCATGCACCAGGAAAGGCTTAGGTTGGATATTAGGAAAATTTCTTCACTGAAAAGGTTGTCAAGCACTGGAATGGGCTGCCCAGGAAAGTGGTTGAGTCACCATCCCTGGAGGTATTTAAAAGACATGTAGATGTGGCGCTTAGAGACATGGTTTAGTGAAGGATTTGGCAGTATTAGGATAATAGTTGGACTTGATGATCTTAAAGGTCCTTTCCAACCTAAATGATCCTGTGTTCTGAATTTTGGAGAGTGTTCATATGAATTTGTGGGTAAGAACACTTTCGGGGGGGTTCATGTCCTTTCTAATATGTGATAATTGAATCTAAACAAAAATAACAGCAGTTTCAGTATTAAAATCTTTTTCTTGAATATTTGTGCCAACTGCAATATATCTGTGTTGTGCAAAGGCAGCGTATACATCTGTAGCTCAGGTAAAGAAGCTTTCTGGTGAGCAGTGCAAAAAGAAATTGTGATAATTATTGAGCTGGAATGTTGTGGTGTCATTTTTCACAGCAGTAAACATCTTAGGAACTTTGCATTTAGAAGGAATGGGTGCGTATTGGCCTGTCAGTATTTAAACCTGACACTAACTGCTTTTATTTGTGATGTGTGACCTGTTTAGAATTAAGTTCAGGGGCAGGTAGTGACTGGACAAGGGGTAATGCGTTTAAGCCAGAAGAGGGTAAATTTAGATTAGATATCAGGATATCTTCACGGAGAGTGTGGTGAGGCACTGGAACAGGTTGCCCAGAGAAGCTGTGGATGTCCCACCCCTGGAAGTGTTCAAGGCCAGGCTGGATGAGGCTTTGAGCAACGTGGTCTAGTGGAAGGTGTCCCTGCCCATGGCAGGGGGGTTGGAACTAGATGGTCTTTAAGGTCCCTTCCAACCCGAACCATTCTGTGGTAAATTAGAATGTATGAATGTCTCAATTGCTATCACTTCTTTTGTTTTCCTTGGATATCAGAAAGGAACTGGGAGTTTTGTTTATGTTAATTTTAGCAAACCAGTGAGGAAAACCACTATGGCTCAAAGGAATTCCCTTTCACCACAGTTCCTATTATAGGTTATATTATATATATATA